CTCTCTCTCTCTCTCTCTCTCTCTTCGCGTGACGTCGTGGTGGGTGGTCGGTTAGGTTTCCTGTGCGGTGGTTCGTTTGTCTGTCGTGTTGCGTTCGGGATGTGACAAAGGCGCCATCGCTTTGTCCACCCGTCCACTGCACCTCCAGCGTGTTGGCGATGTCGCAAGCRTTTCGTATTTTCGCGACGCGGGTGCACGACAGGCTGCGTTTCCCTTCCGCGGCGGCTGTGTGTGCATGCGTGTTTGAGCGGCGTCCAGTAGCGGTGGGTGTGCTGGCGAGTGTTCGCTATTGTGTTGTGTGCATGCGGTCGCGCGTTTGGAGTTGTGTTGGTCGTCGTCGATCCTCCGCTTTGCTGCGGTTCTGTGTAAGTGTGAGTATGGTGTTGTGCGTGTGGTTGCGTGTTTGTGTACTTATTCATGCGTGGTCGTTTCTTCTTCCTTTTTTTTTTTTTTTTTTTTTATTCTTCTTCTACTTCTTGTTGTATATGTTCTTGTTGTTGTTGTACTCGTTGTTGCATTCCTTATTCGGTTGTTATGTTCGTCTTCATTTTTTTCATCACCGTCTCGTTATGTTTTATTTGTATACGGCGTTTGTTATTTGAATGTTGTTGTTGTTGTGCATAGAGAGTTGTGATTTGTATACGCATGTAGTCTTTTTTTGTTTTATTAATTTTTATTTTTGTTTATATTTTGCTTTATTTTTCGATCGTTTTTGTCCATTGAGAGCGCGTTGTTTATCGTATATGCTCTTAATTTATTATTTTTTTTTTTTTTGCTTCTTCTTCTACTAAGTTTTCTTCACGTTCATTTTTGCCTTGTCGTTCATCACGTGTCCATCGATGTGTTGATTCTTCATGTCGCGCCACCTGTCAGCCCCGTCGGCGACCTTGTTATTTTCCTTGTTTTGCTTTTTCCGCCTTTGCGCTCCGATTCACAGTGTGACAATATATATATATAAGTTTGTCACACCCCCTCGTTTGTTGTCCTCTTCTCTATCTCTGCGTACGGTTCACCGGGCAGTTCTGTTTGTGATGATATATCTATGTATATGTGTGTGTGTGTGTGTGTGTGTGTGTGAGAGAGAGAGAGAGAGAGAGAGAGAGAGAGAGAGAGTAATAGAGAGACAAATATATAGAGAGAGAGATCGTTACCCAGAATTAGAAAAAACTCCCGGATATGTAGCGTATTTCGTAGCCTTTTTTTTTTCCCTTTGGTTCTTGTAATCGTCGCAGGTGTTCTGTGTTGTTCGCATGGTGGAAAATTTTCATTTTCTTTTGTAATTTTTTTTCCATTGATATCTTGACGGATATATTCTTATATCTTCTGTTAGGTTTTGTTTTTTGTCCTTCTCTCTTCTTCTTTTTCTTCTTCTTCTTCTTGTACTTCTTCTTCGCRTTCATCTTTCGCTTGTCGTTCTTCGCGTGTCCATCACTGTGTTGATTCTTCATGTCGGCCAGCCTGTCATCCCCGTCGTCGACCTTATCTTATATATATATATCGTCACAAATATATATCGAGAGAGAGAGAGCGAGAGAGGGAGTTGGGCTGTCGCATCGAAACTGCTTGCATCACGTTCCCATCAGACATGACGTTTGCACAACATTTTTGAGGTTTCATTTTTAAGTTTACTTCGTTTGATTTTTTTATCTTGTTCTCTTATTCGTCGTTTTAGGTTTTCTTTGTTAGTTTTCTTCGTTTTATTTCTTATGCGACTCCGACATTGTTCGGACGTGTACATGGCACACATACAGCGCTGAGTGTATTAATATATATATATATATATATGGCGGATAATTGTTTTTTTTGTTCTGTTAGGTCTTGTTTTTGTCCTTGACTCATCTTTTTCTTCTTCTTCTTGTACTTCATACACAGTGCTCAGCATAGACACCCACGACATATACACATGCAGGCACAGAAACAGAAGTGGCCGGTAAATCATATATATATATATATATATATATATATATATATATATATATATATCGCCACAAACAGAACTGCTCGGTAAACCGTTGGCAGAGAGAGAAAGAAGAGGACAACAAAGGATGGGCTGTGACAAACTGTTTCGTCAGAGTTTTTGATTTTTCTTCATATACATGTGATATATATATATCGTCACAAACAGAACTGTCCGGTAAACCGTAGGCAGAGAGAGAGAAAAGGACAACAAACAAGGGGCTGTGACAAACTGTTTCGTCGAAGTTTCACCGACTCATCAGGAGGCTGAACCCTCAACAGTCTGCAGAATCCCCTCACTTATATATATATATATATATATAGTCGGGTAAACCGTGGGCAGATAGAGAGAGAAGAGGACACCAAAGCAGGGGCTGTGACAAACTGTTTCGTCTGAGTTTCACGGAGTTATCATATATGTTTGTGACCATATATATATATATATATA